TGGTCTTCTTTGTAGGCATATCATCCTATCATCCTATCTTCCTATCTTCCTATTACAGACAACGTTGCACTTCAAGACAGATCTTGATATGTTGTTTTTGATGATAAATGCGATGCCATTCCTCTTCAATTTGTCATGCCCAGCATAGTAAACCATGATTGTCATATTCAAAATGGCCAAGTCCAGTCTATTTTCGCTCATTAATGCCTACAATATCCATGCCATGTGTTCCATTTCATTTTTGACAACTTTCAGTTATCACAGATTCATACTTCATAACATTCCATATTCTGATTATAAGTAGATGTTTGCAACTGTTTCTCTTCATTTTGAGTTGTATCCCATCAGCAAATGAAGGTGTTATTCCATTCGTGTCATCTTGTTGTCATCTACATGTCATCTACATTGAGGAAGCAGCTCTTCCCGAGTCATATTTTGAATGCCTTCCAACCTGAGGGGCTCATCTTCTGGCACTGTATCTGACAATATTCTGGTGTTCTTCAGCATATTTCAATATTTAATATTTTCTGGTGCTGACAGTGTTCCACTTCTATCCATATAGTTTCCAGTGATTAAATATTCAGAAGCAGTCTGTCTTTCCTTCTTCCTAGTGTGTCTTCATCTGAAAGCTCAGCCGAAACCTGACCACTGTGGGTGAACCTGCTGGTATTTAAAATACTTATGCCGTAACTTCCAGAATCACAGCAACACACAAGCTACCACAGTTCTACAAACTGACAAGTGGTGGGAAACACTCAAGTTTGCAGCCTGGGATAGTAGGTCAGTTCCCAGTGGTTTGTGTGGATGAGCTTGTCAAACACACTAGATGCACAAATGCAAATGAATGTCACCATATCTCTAAGTGGTCACCAAAGGATCCTGTTTTGGTTGTTAAGTGCATTGAATCAGTTTCACCTTATAGCGATCTTGTACAGGGTTTCTGAGGAGCAGTTAGTGGTCTTAAGCCACTGACCTTGTGGTTTGCAGTTCAATGCTGATCCTACAGTGCCATGCCAGGACTTCAAAGGACCCTACACATCCTTTAAATCCAGATAATGATTCCAGTTCTATCTTAGAAGTCAAATTGATTTTCAAATTTTTCTTAGGGTTTATCCTTCAGGACAATGACGTGTTGGCAAATCTTTGTTTTTTGGTGTATTTGATGAATGTGGTCAATTCAAAACCAGTTATAATAGTTAAGAAATTGAGCCCTACTGGTAAAAATATCCCATTGTTATGGAAAACAAGAGTGGGACAAGTTTCACAAGAAGTGATTTT